TGATTTATTAAAATTTAAAAATAGATAAATTATAGTTGAAGTGCACCGTGAGCGAAAGCAATTCTTCCATTTATCTACTGAAACTCCAGTATGATAATTTGCATAATTATATAACCTATTATCCTATAGGTATCTATTAAAATAAGCGGATTAAATATTACAATTTGGCAAGGTATTGATGAAAATTTTACATTTTCCTATCTGCGTAACTTGTAAACTATGTCCAGCTGTGGTCAGCACTAAAAATGTTTCGTATAACGTACATGTACATCTGATTCCTGCAGATCACACACCAAGTATACGCCACAAGTGTTTTATTTTTCCAGAACGGCGAAAACAGCAGTATTTTTCCCACTTGAAAGTCTCGATCGTTCTTTTTTTATTTTTTTATTTATTTATTTTTTTTTTTTTTTCAAAATTCTGGCTTAAATTTAATGTGATTTTCGAGTCCAAAAGGAACTATCTCATCATATTTAATTGGAAACTGAAAGGACAACTTCAGTATCTTCGAAATCGCTCAAGATGAAGAAGAAATCTGCCAGAAAATGACATTTTTTTTTTTTTAAATTTGTATACTTGGAAAAGGCGTTCCTAGCATTTCAACACATTTTCTATATCAATTTAATGAAGTTCCGCTTCAGTATTTATATTTTATTCTCAAAAGAATATTTAACTTTCTGTTATTCTGCAAACAGATCCAGGACACTAAATATAAACCAAATAAGGAAGAAATTATTTCGAATTGGTGATTTTTTTAAAACTCTCACTGTTTTTCTTTTTCTTATATAATCTCTTGAACAGAAATTCGCCATATTGAAAACAATATGGCCACTGTGCAAATTGGCAAAATTTGAACAATTTCTGCATATGCAAGTTTTTATAGAAGACGAAGGAAAAAAAGGGGGAGGGGGAAGGGGAGCTCGTATTTCAGAAAAGCAAAATACTGAATATAACACTGTCGGTTCAGATTTTGTTGACTAAGGCAGCATGCATTTATGAATGAAAAATTATATTTTTTGACAGTGTTACTTTTTTTTAGACAAGTTTTTATTCCTCCTTCTACTCAGAAATTGCACCGAACCCGATTCGCCAAAGTTCAACACAAATTTACCATGCATATGTTATATTTCTGTCGGTGACATAGACGTTATCTCAAGGTCAAAACACATCCTTAAGGCCATGCACAATGCTTCAAGCAAGTGTTTGTTTTGTTTGTTTGATGTTTAACGTCCCTCTCGAGAATTTTTCATTCATATGGAGACGCCACCACTTGCCGGGGGGAGAGCTGCAAATTTTGACCTTTACTCGGCACTAAGGGCCATTGAGCAATGAGGGTTCTTTATCGTGCCAGCACCTCCTGCAACACGGGACCTCTGTTTAAACGGTCTCATCCGAAGGACAGGTCTCCACGTCCCACAGTGGGATTCGAACCCACGACGTAAGGATTGCGAAACTCCTTACTCTGCGACTCTAGAGCAAACTTCAAGGAAGTGTAAGCTACCTTTTCAAGATTAAGGACCGTACATGTATTTCGCTCTTCTACTGCCAGACCATGAACTTATCAATTGACTTATGGTTTAGGGACACGACACATCCTCAGGTCATGAGCAATTTGAGCTTTTAATGTTTCCACCTTACAAAACTTTATACAACATACATATTTTGTTAAAATGATTATACACGCACTTTCTAAAGAAAGTTCGGGTATATTGTTGTTACTCATGTCCGTCCGTTCGTCCGTCTGTCACACTTTCTTCTTCCTCAAACTCCTCTTACATTTTACACAGTAGCCTAATCATCTTTTGGGAGATGGTTGGTGGTGTTCTGTAGATGTTCAGTTTTCGGAATTTTCATTTTCACCCTGGGTGTCAAATGGGTGTCGAAAAATGACGTTTTTTATGCAAAAAGCCCCTGGTTCCCTGAACTCCTCTAACATTTTACAAAGTAGCCTAATTATCTTCTGGGAGAAGTTTGGTGGTGTCTTGTAGATGTGCAGTAAGGTTTCCGAATTTTCATTTTCACCCTAGGGTCGAATGGGGGTCGAAAAATGACGTTTTGTATGCAAAAAGCACCTGTTTCCCTGAACTCCTCTTACATTTTACAAAGCAGCCTAATCATCTATTGGGAGATGGTTGGTGGTGTCCCGTGGATGTGCAATATGGTTTCAGAATTTTCATTTCCACCCTAAGGGTCAAATGGGGTCAAAAATTGTGTTTTTTTTAAATATTAAAACACCCTGGTTCTCAGAACCTCCCTTATATTTTATGCATTAGCCTAATCATTTGGAAGATGATTGGTTTTGTCCTGTGGATATGCAAAATGGTTTCAAAATTTGCATTTTCATGTGTATGGCCCTAACCCTTGGGGTCATGATTTGTACAAACTTGAATCTACACTACTTGAGAATGTTTCCATATTAATATGTCTAATCATGGTCTTGTTGTTCTTGATAAGAATTGAAGATTGTTTTCCTTTTATTCCTATATAAAACTTTGATCCCTTATTGTGGCCTGACCCTATCCTCGGAGGTCATGATTTCAAGAAAAAAAACTTCAATCTACACTATATGAGGATGTTTACATATCAATATGACTAACAAGCAAATTCAAAGAATTGTGGTCCCCTGCTTTCGGTGTCTTAGTGGATGGGATGCCATTATTTATGGCATATTGTGTCAAATATGCACGCCCTATCATATGTCATTCAAAAGTAATCACCAAAGTTAAAATTTTTGAAAATTAAGTAAAACGTGAAGGTCAAGGGGTAAAAAATCCTAGCATGCTTTGAAACTAGAGATATGACCAGAACTATATATGTCTGAATAATAAACATGTACAAGTCATGTATATTGTGTTTGTTGTTAAACGTCCCTGTCGAGAATTTTTCACTCATATGGAGACACCGCCATTTAAAAATAATAATGACAAGTCAGAAGTGAGGTTAACATTTATTTAAGGAGTTTGCAACAATTAAGACACGAAGAGCTAACTCCTTCCCTTTGCCCCTTCCCCTTCCAAGACCCCCTTTTGTTCATACATGCAAACTAATGCTTTGTTTTGACATAAAAAATGTGAATATATACAAATAGTTTAATGGTGCATCTCTCTGAATGATTTTCATTTCTACTTCTAGGAGGGTGGGCTGACCCAAAGTCATGAATGGAATGTCAAGCAATCTTATCATTGATGCACTTTAAAATTTGACGCAGGTATATTGTGAACATTTCCAGTTCAAGAGAGTGGGGATGGCCTTCATAACATTTATACCATTAGATGTGCATAGTAACACAAGAAACAAAATTATTTATAGTCAAATTGAAAAGTTTTCAACTATTTTGAGTCACATGATTATTTGTCATTTCAGGGACAGGCAGTGGCTAGTGAGATCGGACCCCCCCCCCCCGGAATTAGTTATTTAAAGTATATGCTGAAGCAAATAAAAAATGACTCTCCCCCCCCCCCCCCCCTTTCAGAAAACATGGACCCGCCATCACCACCACGAAATGGGATTTTTTAGGCTATCTGTTGGCAAAGGATTTTACTTATTTTGTATTTTTTCTTTTGTTTTTTTTTTATTGGGGGGGGGGGGGTCCTCAGGAAATTCTTGGTTGGATTTTTTTTTTTGACTGGGGTGGACTTACACCCCCCCCCCCCACACACACACACACACACCCCACACCCCCGGAAAAAAAAATGCTGGATCTGCGCCTATAACTTACAAAGGACTAAAAAATGAATGTAACGTCGACAACGAGAATGACAACTCTTCAGAATGTGAAATTCGTCTATTGTTGCATCCGATGATCTTTGATCCTTTTTAAACTTTAACCTGAGCATTTGCATTTCAGATTATTTTACCCCAATCTATACCTAAACTACTTACTGACTGTCATAGGTACTGTCAACTTCATGAAGTATAATCCAATTAAAACACACAATGAATTAATTCCTACTGATACATGTATACATAATGATGTGTACACATGTGCAATCCAAATGATAATGGTAAAGCTAGTGCTAGTAGGGTGACGCAAGTCCAATGTGATGTAGAAATTTAAATAAAAAGGTGTACACATTTATAGTATAAGGACAAATTTAAAATTATCATTACAAACAATGTTTTTAACATAACTTTGCTATCTAAGCCTATTTCCAAAAACAGGCAAAATGATTGTGTGTGGGTGTGGGGGGGGGGGCAAAATTGATTGGGTGTGGCTTTTCGAGCAGGTTTTTGCCTACCCAAATACTGAAAAAAGTTTGCACGATTTGTTCGATTCTGAAATTTGGCATCTAAGTTCATCAGAAACGCTTTGCACTAAAATAATATTTGTTGTTTAGAAAATAAATGTAAAATGTTCCAATTATGGGCCAAAAATTTATATCCCCCTTTTTATCAAAACCTAATTATATGATTATATACATCATTAAATAAATTCTGTAATTCTATACTGATAATGAGTTAAGTATATATATGAAATACCTATAAGAGGCTCATGGGTCAAATGGTCACCTGAGCATTTTAAATACATGTACTGTGTAAATTATATAATTATTTTGGCTTTTTCCTTGGTTATCCCAATATATGAAGGGATGTGCATTTAGAGGCAAACACATTAGTGCGGGTATTACTGTCTTATGACAGCATCTAGTTTTGAACTTGTCCACATTTGCATTGGGTCAAGATCATAATGCACCTCGAAGACACAAATAAAGGTGACACAAAAAGCTTTCAATAGTTCTCCATTACAAAAATATGGCTTAGAAATAACCGTTCTCTTGTTTTAATTATAATGATCAAGGGTAAGTACATATACACATACTATAAGCTATCTTTGTGGCAAACAAAACAGGCAAAACTGATTTGTTCAATTGTTTACGGACGGAAGATTGACCGACAATTTTCAATTGTTAATGAGTACATGGCTTATTTGTCATGAGGAAAACTGTTTTCAAATTATATTTAAAATTCATTATAACTGTATAATTTTAATAACTCCATAATTTTAATTTGTAATTAAAAATTTAATTGTAAATTAACACTTTATCATATATGCAGTTATTTTTCAATCTTAAATATAATATATTAAATCTCTGTTTTAATAAAAAAAATTCTTTAAGAAAATAATAAATAAATTCATGGACTGAAACACTGCTCAAATGAGACAATTTCTATTCCTTGTGTACGGTAGAATTCTAACATGTCTTTGCATCGCAGGATGGACATTTCGTGCTCTCGCTGTGGTGATCTTGAGAAATCGTCCGGGCCATCCCCACAACCGCCTTCCATTCCGGTTTTGTATCCAGGATGCACCATCAACTCACATGTTATGACGTCATTTCCTGTAGAATTGAACGCTTTGGTTATTTGTCGTTGTAAGCGTTCTACTGTCATATCTGAGCCCATTGTCTGCAGTCCTAAAAACCGTTCGGTTGCCCTAAAAAATAGTTAAATAAAAAGATAGATGAAGATAGAGATCAATAGAGTTTAAAATTCCTCTTATTAATAAACATTAGGGTTAACAGCCCTTCGCTTTGTGTTTAACTCTGTTAGAGCTTAAGAAATATTTATAAAACAAAAGGAAACAAGAGGCCCAAGGGCCTTAACGGTCACCTGAGTACAATACAACAATTTAGAGGATCCACAAACTGATAAATGAAGCTTTGTTGTCCAAAAGCAAGAAAAACAGTATGATTTGCATAAACAAAATAATTGGTTTAGTATCAATCTGTCCCCCATTTATCACTATTACCAAACTATTATCAAACTGTCTATTTTTTTAACCCCATATTATTTCTTCTCACGTTGGCCTCTCTTGGCCTTTGAGCTGTTGAAGAACAATTAAAAAAGATGTTATTTTTGTACCAATTTTATTCATCTATTATTTCCAAGTCTACCTGATCATTAAAACTATGAAAGTACTTTTTGTATTATACAATAAATATTCTTGCATAATTCTCTTATTCTATTAAGCATTCAAATACATTATTTACAGTGATTTGTTAACAAAGGTGAATGGCAAAGGGGAATAACTTTGCTCAGCAGAACATAAGTTAATAGAGCACTGGCCAGGATCAGAACACTTGATTAAATGGTCCAGGTGTTCAAAATTCTGGTACAAATACCCTTGCATATTAACACTTTTCTCTGTTTGCTTTAAATATGCCATGAAGCATAGAAAATTTTCAAAGAAATGCATTTTCACTCTATTATTAAATAAATAAAGCCCCATCCTTACACCAGAGCATCTGACCCATTGGCCATATTTAGCTAACAATTCTGGAATAAGCACCCTTGCTCATCATAACTATACACTTCTTTCTTTGCTTTATAACCAGTAGTAGAAAAAAATATTTTGAAAGAATTATGCATTTTCACTATATAATCAATACAGCCCCCCCCCCCTTTCACCAGAACCCCTGACCCTGGGGCCATGAATTTCACACATTTTGAAGAGGCATTCTTCCTTATCATAACCATGCACTTTCTTTGTTTGAAAAATACCCAGGAACAGAGAAGAAAATTTTGAAAGAATTTATGCATTTCCCCTATATAATAAATAGAGCCCCGCCCTAAAACCAGAATCCCTGACCCTGGGGCCATGAATTTCACAGTTTTGGTAGAGGGCTCAATGCTTATTACAATTATGCCAACAGTTTGACTGCTTGATGTCCAGGAGTAAAGAAGAAGATTTTTAAAGATGGCATAAATTTTGGTGGTTTTGGCCCTATCCCTCAGGCCCCAAGGGGCAGGGACCACGAAATTCAAATTTTTTGTTCCCCTTTACCCATAGATGCTATATGTCAAATTTGGATGAAATTGGTTGAGCGGTTTCAGAGAAGAAGCTGAAAATGTTCAAATGTTAACACTCGACGGACGACGCACGACGACGGACGAAAACAGATAGCAATAGGTCACCTGAGTGACTCAGGTGATCTAGAAAATAAACCATTTCAATAAAATTTGCACTATCAATGAAATGTCAATTTTGTAAGAATGATTTAATTTGTAAAATCTAATTCGTTGACAGGGGTGTTTTTAAATGGAAGAATCGGAACCGATATTCCTTAGTAAAAATTTGTTGGAATTATTGTACACAAGACTTTTCACGCCAACTCAGGGAAAAAGGCATTCTCGCAAAATTTCATGAATTTACAGTAATTTTCAAAACAAATGAATAAAGTATTAAAATACTCTAACCAAATATTGTTTTCCTTCATGACAACCTTCGCATTTGCCGCTTGTTGAACAACTTCTTTAAAAAATGAGTCTAGGTCTTTGACAGCGTCCGCTGCCCAGGAATACACGTGACCAGGTTCAAGGTCTTCATATGGGCATCTCGTACTCCGGACACCATGTTCCTTCATCACTGATCCAAATATTTCGCAAATGCCTGAAATGTTATACTAAATGCAACAAAATTCTGAAAAAAAATTTCGTTTACTTTCCTTCATCACCGATCCAAATATTTGGCAAATGCCTGTAATCTTATACTGAATGCAACAAAATTTTGGGGAAAAAAAACTTTTCGTTTCCTTCATTGCTTAACAGTTTAAATTTTCAGTGGGTCCCCCTGATTTTCCTCATATTTACCTCTAGTAAACTGAAAATTTACAACATGATACTTTTCTGCGAGTTTTTGCCATTGCTTTTCAGCGACTGGACATGCCAAACAAATAGACAATATATAACCTGGCAAAAGATGAGCATGCTGGTGTCCGTCAACATGACTTGGCTTTTGACCCATCAAAGACTCGAATAGGTCAACCTGACTCTTCATTTCACATTTCACCTTCAATTAAACTGAATAATTATAGTCATGGTCGAACTTCCATCTGTATTTAAATGCTCATTGATAAGAATAGGACAAAAATGAAAAGGAATTCCATTTTAAGAGTTACGAAGATGAGTGTACATGTAGACAGATTTTCGTATTAAAATATTTTTTAATGTTACAATCACCTCTTCCAAATCTATTTTTCCATTCGCCAAAGCTTCTCTAAATCCAAAGTTTCCCAGAAATTTGCCTTTGTCGTCAGTTAGTGTTTTGGACATTTTTCCGATAGGATTTCCTTCTGTTATGTTCAGATGCATACCTTGACACAAAAATAAACGGTGCAAGTATAAATAAAACATATTTAACCTTACAACAACAACAACCCCCAACCCCCACAAAAAAAAAAAATAAATAAATAAAAAGTGGCTGGCTGAAGATCATGCAAAAAATTTACACACACCCTTAAATACTGATCAAGGTTAGGTTGTATAAGAAGACAAACAATAAAGATGCCAGAAACACAGACAGACAAAAAAGGCCGGCAAAAGAAAACCAAAGACAAATGAAATACATACTCCTATTTATCTCTGTTAAATCTCTAATTTTCGGGGATATTTTTACTTTTCCCCCTCAGAAATGACCCATGAACCCATGCACTCCATGAATGTTAAAAATTAAAACCTGCACTACACTATAATGTATGTCTATACCACTAAATAATCAACCACGAAATCAAAATTCCCACGAACCACCATTATTATATTTTTTTTCTGTTTCTATACTTTTTTCTATGATTTTTTTTTCTATTTTTTATACTGTTTTTGATAGTTGTATGATTGTTGCTGCAGATGCTGAGATTTGTGTTCATTACAAAAGAATTACAAGGAGAAACGTATCTCGAAAATGGTCTAGTCTGTGACATTTATTATAATCAAATGACATATTTTAAAACGAATAAGAATTTTTTCTTGCATTTAAATAAAATTACACATCCATGCAAGGATGAAGAATGGACATCATTTTGTGTCAAGACGCCTATGTGCCTATCTTTTTTATAAGATACGTCTCTCGCTAATTTCAATACAATGTGAATGAATTACATTTCCTTTTAATATCAAGAGAATTAAAAAAAAATTACCAGCCTTTACTAGAAGTGAAAACAACTATTCAATGTTGTGATGTTCAACGCCTATTAAAGTAAATGTAACACTGGTCTTTAAAACTTTGATTCCCTACTGTGGCCCCACCCTACCCCCAGGGGTCATGATTTTAACAAACTTGAATCTACACTTTGTCAATAAGCTTTCATTATATATTTTTTTCTGGCCCAGTGGTTCTTGAGAAGAAGATTTTTAAAAGATGTCATGATATTTTACTAATGGTCTCTTCATTTGAAAAACTTGCAGTCCTATCACCTTAAAAGTTTGGTCGAAATTGATCCGGTGGTTAGTCGAAAATGTTAAAAGCCGAACAGCAGACAGACGAAGGACAGAATGTGATCAGAAAAGCTCACTTAAGCTTTCAACTCGAATGAGCAAAAAATGTTCAACCTAAAAATTCTAGATCTATCTCTTCACCTTAAACTAAACTCCACTTTGTATTGACTTCGAATTCAGTCTTAACTGAAAATGCATAAATAAAACGGTGGCAGGCGTCTATGGTAGATCTTTCAAAAATTTAAAGTAGCAGGATAAAACAAAAACTGTTAACACTCATCCTTAATTTTTTCAGGGAAATAATATAAGTCAAAGAATATTCAATATCCTTTATTAATATGGAATGAAAAAGTCAAAAGTCTTTTTGTCGTGTATATAACATATGTATAAACTCTATAGATTTTTAAAATTTCTTCGACTATTGTTCATACACTTATACATGTACACATGTATACTATTTACATCCTTTTTTTATCTTATTTTATAGAAATCTGCCCGCCGTACCAAAGTCCTTGTACGTCGTACCTGTAGGCATGCCCACTTCTTTGGCGCGTCTCGCTCCATCTTCTGCTGCTACGCCATTTACCATCAATGTCACCCCACTGATGGCCCCCTCCTGGAAACACTCCACTATTCCTTTGTTTCGTACAACACTATAACCGAAATCATCAGCGTTTATGACGAGGAGTTTCCTCATACTGAACCTTTTTTTATCATCCCTGATAAAGGATATATGGAAGCCGAGAAGATGCAAACGATCTGTATTTCACCAATTCAAATGTTACTGATTATTTTGAATGTAAAGATTTTAGCTGAATTAAGCAATTTACCCAAGTTATGAACAATTAAATTGAAAAGAGGAAATATGGCCTAAATTATACATGATTAGTAATACGTACGACGGTCCTATACTATCTAAATGCATTTTTGTTTTTATAATTCAGAAAAATGTCAGTCAAAAACAATTTTTTCATACCCACTGCGCCTTTATTTATGACATTTAGAACAAGCTTGAGCTTTAATGCATTTCGATAAAAGACCTGTTTCTAAGATCCGAAGGAATTTAAGCTCGGATTGAAATATCATAAAATGTTTAAAATGTTTGATTTTTTAAATGCATTTATTCAGTTGTTGAACAGACTGTTATAGTGAGTGTGTGTGTGGGTGGGGGGGGGGGGGGGGGGCGAAAGGGGGTTGACGTGGGGGTTGGTTAATGATTAAGTGAATATGATATCTAGGTTACATCATTTTCGCAAGTCAAGGGTTTTCTGTCCGTCGGGAGAGAAGAGGACCGAAAATCTTGGCATGTGATGATGTTACCATCAGTCCAGCAAAGAAAATGGTATTATCAGTGCTGCATTTCATACATGAAGGGTATTGAAAAGGATAATATACAAAAAGGGTTTAATTTTTTTTGGCTGAAAAGAAATTACTATAGTGAACCATTTTCTTGTTTTATATCAATCCAAAGAAAATCGTGTTATTAATTACAGTATATATATATATATATCTTATTTAATACACGAAAAAGTATACAAGAAAATGAATTTAAACGAGATGGCATTTAGATAACGAGGTATTTTAAAATATTATATTCCTATTTATTCTATGCAATTAAATATACACCAATATTTCCATTATAGTGCCTTAAGCATGAAATATATCAAGTAAATAGAAAAGAGGTAAAATCTTTGTATCGAAAACAATTACACTTATGAAATATTTAAAAAAAAATGTTTTCAAATGTCGTCATATTTCATAATGAAATAAATTGTACAAGAACATCCAAGTTCCTCAGTCTACGAAAAAATCAAGCAGAATCAATTAAATAATAGCCTTCCATCTCCTTACATGTACAGGGTTGAAAGGTTTTGCTAGCAACGTTTCAGAAAAAAATACACAACCTGCGCAAGCGCGTTAAACTTTTTGTCCCCCGCTTCAACTGAAAGGGGGGATATTAATTTGGGTCCGTCCGTCCGTCTAGCTGCATTTCTGTCTGTCTGTAACACTTCCGCGCGATATCTCGAGAACCCTTTTAGCTTTGGCTGTGAAATTTTACATAGCAACTCCATAGGGCCAAAAGAAGAACCGTATTGATTTTGAGGTCAAAAGATTAAAGGTCAAGGTCATAAATTCATAAATGTTGTCTGTTTTAACGCTTTCGTTTCCGCAAGATATCTCGAGAAGCCTTCGAGCTTTTGGAATGAAATTTTACATAACAACTCCCTGTGGCCTTAGGAAGACCCCTATTGATTTTGAGGTCATTAGGTCAAAGTTCAGGGTAGTAAATTCATGCAATCTGTCTGTGTGTAACACTTTCGTTTTCGGGCGATATCTCAAGAAGCTTTTGAGGTTTTGCAATGCAATTTTATACCATAACTCCCTATGGTCTCTCTCGCCCCTCTCAAAGTGTCCCGACCCGTTTTTTTTAAGTCGCTTGGCACTTTATTTAGCACAGGGGCATGTGGAGAGTTATTATACATATAATACAGGTTGTCGGCGGACTTTATTCTAATTACGTCTAATAGAACTGTGTAGTAAACTAAGGCTAAATTATACACCATGTATTATATAAAATTTTGACATTATCGAACGTGAATATAAACACTATTTGTGACCTAATGTTTGTATTTAATTTGATGTACAATCAAGTGTCTCTTTAGTCTATGGGTATGATTTTCCCTAGCAAATGAGAGATCCCGGGTTCATTTTTTTAATGTTTTTTTTTTTTTTAATTAACTAAATGATAATATTCAAACATATGAAATGAAAAAGTTATGACGTCTGGCGTTATCAAACTTCTCATAAAATCCTTATTACAGTGTGATAAATATTCTATATAAAAAGAATCTTCTATACACATATCTGAGGAATAACTGTCTATTTTTTTGGTTTTATGATGTGATCAATCAATTTGCTCGCGTGGTAATTTGCATAAACGCCAAAGGCGTTTATGCGTAAAATTATCACGCGAGCAAATTGTTTGATCACCATCATAAAGCCAACAAAAAAAAAAACAAAAAAAAAAAAAAAAAACAGACAGTTATTCCTAATATTTACATTTTTACCTGATCCTTGATTCAATTAAAAAAAATCAATAATAAGAAATCTCAGCATCCCCACCAGGTGTATTACTAAGCAACACGCAGCAAAAAAAAGCATGCAGTTCTGTCACGTGCTGAGCAAATCGATTTATGGGGTTATAAAGCCATTACCTTATTTGTAGATTTATCTCGGAGAAAGACATTGGAAATGTAAATATTTAAGAATAAGCAATCAAATCTTTATATCCATATTGGCATTTTTTATTTGCTTCAATATACATGTAAACATTTAATAATTCTGCAAATCCCTCCTAGGACTGCGCATGTTCTCCATTTTTTCCTAAGTGGGGGACACAAATTCTCTGAATTAGCTTGTTTTTTTCTGCAATTTTTACAACCACTTATTCAAGAGTAAACAAACACTTTATTTTCATTGCTTAATATATTTTTTAGTGTTTAAATGGACAGTTGGGAAATATTACTATTTTTTGTCTTCACATTTCATCAAATTCACATTAGGAAGCAACCAAGATGTGTATGTGAAACATTGATGTCCCTTTTTTCAGCTCATAGCGAAGGTTAAAGTTTCTCAAATGCAAGTCAAACTCCAAGGTCAAGATCAAGCGATCAGTAATTTACTGATCGCATGATCTTGAGCTTGTGATTTGACTTGACCTTGGGCATAACTTTTAACGGTTGGAGTAGGGCTTTCATATTTCTCAGGTGTATTCCGTGTGACTAGACCTTTCTTTGGGTTCCAATGTTCTATAAATAATGGTACCCAAAGAAATACAACTGTGAAATAAGAAAGCCCTAGCTCCACTGTTAAAAAGTTATGGTACAGAATAGTACAACCGTTGTGTATATGTGTGGTGCTGTGGTTAGAGCGTTTGCTCTAGAGTCGCAGAGTAACGGGTTGATGGTTACGTTGCAGGTTCAAATCCCATGCACTGCAGGATGCGTAGACCGGTCCTTTGAATAAGACCGTCTAAACCGATTTCCCTGTAGCAGTACACTAGACAAAATTGCTAACGCACCACTTATTATTCTCATTTGTGAATTGATCATTTTCCTAATTGGTACTAGTATATAAAATTAGCTCATCTTTTCCAAAACAGCTGGATTAACAAATGTCTTGGTGTCATGTCAAGACCTTTAAAGAAGCCTCTTGTCCGAAAACCAATTTCCCGACGTGCACTATGCACCGTTTTTGCCAAGATATGAAGTTGGTGATTACCGATGGTGGTCCGTGATGTTGCGACGGGAGCAGTCTCCCACTTAAAAATCAAATAATATATTCTGATTGACTATCATATTGCTTAGTAGTCATCCAGTGCCTTGGTGTCCCCACCAAATCCACCCAACTTCCGGTTGCCCAAATTTTGTGGAACAATCTTGAAATTATTGTGTGGTGCTCACTTAACGCCGTCGATATCTATTGTAAACATTTTTATGATCGTTAATTCATTTTCAACAATTTTTCACCAGAGAAATTCATAATCATTTAATTCTTTTAATTTTTCACAAATTTCTTCAAAGGAACCCCCCGCAGACACCATACTGGCTGCCTTAGCACGTTCTTCTAGAGTCAAACGCCGCATACGGTGTAACTTTTTTTTTCTGAGTTTTTAATTAGTACAAACATAAAGAACACAACCACAAAGAAAAAATTAGAAATTTATTCCACTAAAAAAGTATGGATATGATTTTAATTTTTTCTATGAAGTGGTTACGCTTCAGTAAACATTGTTGTTATTTTTCAGTTAAAGCATTTAAATGTATCAATTTTTATTAAAGTAACATAATTATATATCAAAAACATCATAAACAAGTTTTGAAAAGAAAAATGTTAATTTATTTAGGTGGTGTGTTAGCAATTTTGTCTAGTGTAGGTGCTGGCTCGAAAAAAAGATCCCTCACTGCTCAAAGGCCATAAGTACCGAGTACAGGTCTAAATTTGCAGCCCTCCACCGGCAAGTGCTGGCGTCTCATTATGTGTGAAAAATTCTCCAAGGAACGTTAAACAAACAAACAAACAAACATTGATATTTTTGTTCAAATACGAGGGTTGTTCGGAAAGTTCGTGAACTACCGTCATAACTTTTTTTAATTAACGTCATATTATATCCAAATTTGGAAGAAATATTTCAACAGTAAATTCAAATGTTGTGTATTATTTTTTTTTTAAAACTACCGTGTTTAATTCAAACTTATATAGAAAATCGGATCACGGAGCAGGTCAAAATTTTGTAATTTACAATCAAGACACAAAATAATGTCTGAAGTCATATTTTCTGTAAAATGACACAAAAACGGAAAAAATCTACACGTTCAAATTAGGAATTGTTTCATCGTTTCTGATTCCAATTATCACTAATTATTTTGCTTCTTTGAAAGAAATCAGTTTCAGAAGTGTTGTCTTTATTGAAAAGGGCAAAAAGATGACGTTGTAGAACGACACGGAGCAGCAGTTAAGCATACAATTTTATGTTTTACTCTGAAAAAGCTAAAAAAAAAAAAATCCTGAAAATGCCGGAGGAAATGTCAAAAACGACCCATGCATGTGTGTTACATGTTATAAGCGGTATTTGAATGATAGACTACTGTGCTTAGAGGATGGTGATCTGTAAGAAAACGGATTATCTGTAAATATTTTATCAA